CCTTGCAGTTGTATATCTATCTCTAAATTCTAGCATTGTTAATTCAAGACGGTTGAAAAGAGTGTTTTCCGTTGAGAGAAATCTTCGAGCCCGAGGCCACAGTCTACATCATTTTCTTTCCCCTTCGTGCTCTCTTGGACTATAGTAATACGGCGGATAAGAAACTCGCAGAAAACATCACGATAACATAGACATGTGAAGAAGATATCCTGACCAAACCCGGGCTAGCAAGGTGAGACGGCGACAACGCCAACCACTATACAAACAACTCATAACCATATTCCATGCGACCTCCCCCGTAGTTAACTCATCAAGGCGTGGCTCGGCTCATGCTAATCAGACGCTTGACACCAACCTAGTGCCACAAAGTTAGCATAAGTAACCCGAGCAGATGGGATCAAAAATCGACATACCATCCAGTTCCCGCATTCCTCCGTCCTGTTCGTCATGATATCAATGTGGATGGTCTTGGCCGTCTCGTAATCGCGAGCCTGAAGAGCCCGAGCAAGCTCCGCCATGTCGGCGATAGTGTTTGGCTTGAGCAAGTCCTCATTGTTCAGATGGTCGAACAGAATATTCAACCGACGCTCCGCGTCGTCAACCTGTGCTTTAAAGGAGGATGGCGCTCGAGACTTCACGCGCTGCATGTCTGCGGAGAGGATCTCGAAAACAGGCATGGCGTCTGCGGGGATATGGGAACGGTCGCCGGGTGCTTATCAAGGTCAGAACTAAGAATGAAAATCAAAGAAGCAGAAAATGACTCACGATACTTGGGAGGAGCGGGCGCAGCCTTCCGTTGCGAAGAAGCGGTGCTTGGTCTCGAGGGCGGAGCCTGCGGTGGCGCTTGCTGCATCGGCAGCTGGCTCGGTGGTGGCGTGCTAGGAGCATAAGGATTTGCTGGCGGGGGGTGCGACGCTGGCTGTTGGGCGTAGTGCGAGGCAGCTGCCTGCGGTGGTGGAGGGACAGGCGCTCTGGTGGAGAGTTGCGGGCTTGCTGCTTGAGCCGCCGGGCTAGGTGCATACCTGTTCGATGGTGGTGGCATCGAAGGCGGGGCGTTGTACGGAGATGGCCCGCGAGGGATTGACGCCGGGGGAGGAACGCCCATGGTTGAGCCCATTGGAGGGGACTGAGGCAAGGAAGCGTAGGGGTTGGCCGGGGGAGAAGGGCCTGGCAGGTTAGTAGAAGGTGTGAAGCCTGTTGAAGGTGGCGAGGTCACTCGGGGAGGAGGAGCGAAGCCCTTGGGTGGAGGAGGGACAGAAGGGGCTCGCTGAGTAGGCGGGGCTCCAGGTGGTGGAGGCCCCTGGGAAAGAGTTGGAGACTGGTTGGGGAAAGGCGAGCTGATAGGTGCAGCGGCAGTGGCGGGAGTTCCCCTGCGGGAGGTCGGAGGTTTTGTGAAGCCCTCCGGCAAGTCGTTCCAAGCCGGCAGATTGGTCGCTGTGGTGTATGTGGTCACAGTGGCAGGAGACTGATCGGAAGCGCGAGGAGGTGGTGGAACCGAGCCACTAAGGGGCTGAGCACCATAAGTTGGCGCCTGCAGAGGTTGATATCCTGCCGGAGTATAACTTCCACCGCCAATTGGTGCATATGGGTTGGTTGCCTGCGGCTGGGCGGCAGCTGCGGTGGGGGGAGCATAAGGATTTGCGGGCTGCGTTGTAGCAGCCGTTGGGGGAGCATAAGGATTCCGAGGAGCATTGGTTGCAGCTGCTGGGACAGCGGCAGGTGCAGAGAAGGCGGGCTGTGCAGGGTACATGCTGGCTTGTGGCAAGGGCTTGTTGACGGGTGTCCTGGTGGTGGGAATAGTTGGCTGTGAGCGCTGAGGTGCAGCCTGTCTCATTGCCAGCTTGATGCGGTTCCTAGCGATCTCGGCTTCGGGGTGCTTCTCAGGGACAAGATCGAGGTATTTCTGCGCAACTTGCAGTCGCCCGTGAGTGGCCGCAACATCGGCGTACTCGATATACTTGTCGTAAAGCATACTGAGTTTCCAGTCGGCATCCTTGGTGCGTTCCGTGTCTTGGAACTTGGTAACCTGGCGGAAGATGGTGACTTTTTCAATCAGGCCCTGCAGAGCACGAACGTGGATTGAGAAGGAAGTGTCGTCTGCAGCTGTCTCAATGCTCTTCTGCTCGTTCTCGCGAAGCTCCTCGATCCAGATGGCAACAACCTTTTCGAGTTTGGACCCAGCGAGGAAGCAGAAAGAGGCATCCTTGCGGAGGCTCTTGTCTTGGGTGTTCCGAATCTGCTCTTCCAGGCGGTCACCAAGGGCCTCGCAGAGATCGGCAAATTCCTTGTCATCGGCAAATGTGCACAGCGCAGCCATGACTTCCTTCCAGTTAGACAGGTCGGCATTGTGCACGACATCCCAGAGGTTTTTGCCAACAATGGATGCAAGCAAGCGGGTGTAGTTCGGCCCACCGGTTTGCTTCGAGAAGTAATGCTCCTGCGCCTTCTCGATGCACTTCTGGCCTCCACAGATTGCGATCATGAAAGCATCTGACATGCGGTCTTCGTTCAGAGCCACATCGAGTGCCTTTTCAAAGTTGCCCAGAAGCAAGGCTCGAGTGATGCCTTTTTCCGCTTCGGTCTCAGAGCCATTGAAGATCTGGAATGGGTTGTTGGTCTTGGCTCCCTTCGATGCAGCCAAATCGGACAGGAAGTTGTCAGCTTCAGGGTTCGCGTCAAACATCGACTGCAGGCGCTTGTGCTTCTTGGCTCCCGGCCCGCGGGATTCTTTGGCCGACTCCCCGTTCACCTCGTCATCCTCCTTATCCAAACCAAGTTGAGCCTGTTTATCAGCAGTCTCGTCGGCTTGGTCCTGGAATCCTAGGTATTCGATCAAACCCCTGCGAGGGTTTTCCGAAATCAAAGCTTCAATGACCTTCCAGTCAGCCTTCTCCTCATCACTTGCGGCCTGGGAAGCTCTGGTTTCGCAAATGGTCCGAAGATCACCCTCCTTAAGTGCATTCTCGAATGTCTCTGTAGACTTTGCGACAGCCTCGTCAACTTCAAATGGGGTGATCTTGATCTTCGATGCACGCTTGCCCTTCTCGATAAGGCCGACCGAAACCACTCTGCCACCGAAGCCGAAAGACGCGCCACAAGGTCTCTCAAGCCACTTCGGAGCCTTTGGGAGCGAGAAATTCGAAACCTGGGGCTGCGTCTGTGCCTTCGCGAAGAAATCCTCGCCGTCGAGCGCTTGGTTCTGGTCAGCGATAGCCTGAGCAGTGTCAGTACGAGTGTTCTGGACGGTCTGTATCGAAATTCTCCCATCGAAAGAAGCTGTGGCAAAAAAGTTGGGATTGTGTGGGTTCCAGCGAGTCTGGAAAGTCCAGTTCGTAACAACAGGGAATTCTCCGTAAGCTTGTCCGGTCTGAGGGTTCCAGCAGAGCGTACGGTTGTCCTTGCCGGAGGAGAGAAGCAGGTCGGGATCCTGAGGGCACCAGGAAAGCGATAGCACGCCTGATTCATGTCCTTTAAGGGTCTAGAAAGCATTAATCATATTTGTATGATTGCCTGTGGAGGAGTAGGGTTGTCGGAACTCACCCTTTCTGGGGCATGGGAATTGCGGAGATCCCAAACGTAGATAAGAGGATCGGACTCCAATGGTGTGGAAGTAATGAGTTTCGTGGGCTGTTCAAAGTCAGAAATAAAATCAGCTGCTGTTGATTTTGCCTAGTCTCACCTTCTCAGGATCCCACGCCACTGCGCTAACAGCTTTCCGGCCCATGTTGTTCAGGGTCAAGCTCTCCTTCTTCGTCTTGACATCCCAGACAGTGACAAAACCTGCACTGCTACCCGTGACCAGGATGTGTGCGACCTTCTTGTTCCAGTCCAAGCATTCGATATCGTCAGCGCGGGCAGCGGTGCCTCCGAGTCGGTACGGGTTTGCGAGGTTATTGAGATCGGAGATGTAGAGCTGCAGCAGTGAGCCTCACCAGAACATGAGCAATATGTCGGTAGAACCAATTACCTCTCCCTTTGCGCCACCAGTTGCTAACAAATTCGAGTGCTTGGGGTTGAATTGCAGCGCCTTGATAGCCCCTGAATGTTTGGTCATTCTCGAAATGACAGCATCACTGCTGGTAGTCCGGTCAGCCAATTCATGAGAACCCGGGGGTTCTGTCTGCGGACGAACCTCGAACCGTTGATTAACTTGTCGGCATCCCATAAATCCAAGGATCCGTTCTCCAGAGCACCAGCGATCACCCCCCGTGAGTTGTCCTCGGAATCTGTCCATGCCAGGTCATTGAATCTACAAACAACAATCACAGTTAGTCTCTATGCGCAATGAAGGGCCGAAAATAAGCAATATAAGAATCCATACCCAGAATCAGTGCCAATCTTGGCAATGGGCTGCAGCTCCTGACTGGCATCTTGGCTACTCAATCCCAGGTCCCAGAGCTCAAGACATGTCTCATTCGAGAAGTCGACATCGACGGCGCCAGCCCGAGTTCCGGTAGCAATCAATGGCGATGCTGCACCGGGGGACCAGGCGAAGGTGGCGGTCCGGGGGATCTCCCTCAGACGCACCATGCTGGAAAGCAGAGGTGCGGGATGAGAGGTATAGATTAGGGGAGGACCAGACTCAGAACCGTCTGGCGATGAGAATCATTAAACTAAAAAGAAAAAGGATGAGTGAAAAGAAAATTCGAGGGAAAGTTAAGCCCCCAAAAGCAAAGAACTCCTCCTTAATCAGTAAACGGAAAGGAGCTTATAAGTTAAGAGGTGATCGAGACCTGAACGATCCGATGCCTTGGGCTCAAGCAACCAAGTGTCCTTCTGGAGGGGGTCCCGGGGGGAACAACGCTACGCTCCATCGGGACTCGCCAAAACATCCGCGGATGCACGTGACATCATTCATTCCGCAGACAAAGAAATCTACTTGGGAAGGGTCGAGCAGATATCAACCAGGCGATCGTGACGCAAGGCCTGTTCGCTCGTTTTCAGGCGGATCTCATATGGCTCAGTAATCCCTCTCCTTAATACTTCCGATCTGTTGCACCATGAGCGAAAAGGCCCGCCTAAAATGTACTGTCTATGTGGGGGGTCTTGACCAGGCCGTTACCGTGCAGACACTGGCCGAGGCATTCGTCCCATTCGGTGAAGTCGTTGATATCACGCTACCTAAGCCTGATGTGCCCAACTCAGGCGATCTTCACCGGGGCTTTGGATATGTGGAGTTCGACCTGCCTCAGGACGCTGCGGAAGCGATTGACAATATGGATGGAAGCGAGCTGTATGGCCGTACAATAAAGGTCGCAGCCGCGAAGCCGCAGAAGGAAAGCAACGAAGGGCTGGGAAGCAAGACAGCAATTTGGGAGCAGGCAGGTCCCTTTGATCCGATCGCACACAGACGTGTCGCTAACTACGAATGTACAGGAAGGATATTTGGCCAAATACGCAGTCAGTGAGGAGGATAAGATGGCAGCAGAAGAGGCCAGGGCAGCAAGCGAAGGCGCTCCTGATCCCATGCAGGGATTAGAGGAGCTGGATGTCGCTGGGCCGAAGCCAGAATGAGATTTTTTTACATGATACCCCGCGAGATTCGAACGCACAAGGAAGCCAGACGACAGTAATGTTGCGATATTACTCCAACAGAGCCCCCTTCGGTCAAAGCCGTACTATATTCACGCGCTTTCGATGCTCAAAACAATTGACTTCAATTTTTCTCTGCTGCGACAAATCACGTCTGTGAATAATACAGGCCCTCAACAAACGGACAGACAGAACAAAGAATTGACCGTTGCAAATTAATCAAATGTGCTGGTACATGCTTAGTGTTCGCGGTCCTCGGGCTTATTGCGGTAGAGACGCAAAGTCTTGTCAGTCAGGAGCTTGCGGGTGCTAGAGTAGATAGCAGCTCCAACGGCAACACTGTAACGATTGCGTCAGCGGGGGTGATCGGGCTGGCAAGGTGGGAAACAAATGTCTCTTATAGATAGAAACGGCCGTTGTCAACCTACCTAAGGACAATACCTATTCAAATCGCGATAGGTTAGATGAGTGCGGATGAAGCGATCAACTCTAGACTAGCAACGTACCGAGGGGAATCAATTCTGGAGGGACTCTCTTCAGGGTCCGCAGACGCTGAGAGATGGTGTGAGCTACCGATCAATCAGTACAATTACAGTCCGTCAAGTATAGCAATTGCTGCTTCAATCCAGACTCGTGAGGCCTGTCATACCGGTGTGGTTCTGCTTCTGCAAACGACTGTTAGCATTCGTGGTCTGCCAAGCCTTTTTTTTCCGACCTAGTCGCAATAGACTGGGACTTACGGGCATAGGGAAAGCAAAAGGCCGAGAGGCCTGCATCCTCAGAACACGAGTAGGGAACATGGCGATGGCGGAGAGCGATGTCTGGTGGAAAGAGTAGTGGTGGTGGTGGTGGTGGGATGAGAAGACCAGATGGGGTGACGGAAGCTCAGGACGGGACGTTTCGAAGGGAGCACTTGGACTGGGCTGGTTCGGGTGTTTAGGAAATCTTGCCGCATGAGTGGCTCGCTAGACCGCCCGCGGTCACTTCCGGCTTCACAGCTTCACGGGATCATTCCACTCCACTGGCGCAAACCTCCCCATCTTCCTCTCCGAACGACGTTCCTCCCCTCCCACCCTCCACACCCCATCTCCTTTTTCCATAAACAGTCTAAAAGGTTTCTTGAACCTCACATATTCAAGATGGGTGCCATTCCTGAAGCCGATCCCGATGAGCCCATGGAGACCAAGCCCTTCAAGTTCGTGACAGGTGAGTCCATTCCAAGCTGTCTGCAGGGCCAATGGCCGCGACTTACGCTCAATTGCTGACTTTCTTGCAGCTGGTACGTTTAATCTAGGACATTGATCGTTTGCTCGTCTGTGGTGCCGCTTTGGTCCAGGTTTTCGTCGTTGGTGCTACCTTGTATGATGCTGACAGCTTTTGATACAACGACAGGCTATGATGCTCGCTTCCCCCAGCAGAACCAGTACGTCTTCCGTTCTTTGGCTACCAACCATCGGCTGTTATCAAGCAATACTAATATACCAACCTCAGGACCAAGCACTGCTGGCAGAACTACGTTGACTACTACAAGTGTGTCAACGCCAAGGGCGAGGATTTCCGTCCATGCCGTCAGGTATTTTCAATTCCCTTTCTGGAATACGGAAACTCAAGTAGGATTGATGGCCTGACTCGTGCATCACAGTTCTACCACGCTTTCCGCTCTCTGTGCCCCAAGGCCTGGACTGACAGATGGGATAACCAACGTGGTGCGTATTTTTCTTCCCTTCTATCAGGGAAAAATGATCTAACCTTGAGTATCACAGAGGCTGGAAACTTCCCTGCTCGTCTGGAGTAGATGATTTTAGTCCTTGTCGATTAGCTGTTGAAGATTTTTGGTGCCAACATGTACTCTACGCGATCAGACCGGGAATACAAATCCTCTTCTTCTGGGGTCCTTTTCGTCATGGGGTAGCCAGAGTGAAGGATGTATATAGGCTTACAGTAGTTTGAAAAGCCGTTCGTGTGCATTTGGGTAATCTCTTTTCTTTCATAGGTAGCGTCCCGTATATCAATCATATCGCAAGCATCGTCAGTTGTGGATGATTTCCGTCTACCCACAACACATGATATGTCTGGCTCATGGTTGATGCTACGTAGTACTCAGTACTTGAGTTCCCCGCGATGAAGCTAATTTTGTAATTCTATTTTTGACATATATTACTTCCAGCAGTAATTATTGGTTTCAACAGTGGCAGCAGATAAGACCAAGTGATTTATTCGGTTATACCTTCCCTCTCTCGCACACAGAGGTAGCTGGTCAAAAATCTCAAGACAGGGGTATGAAGGTATCTAAGTAAGGTCATCCAAATCACCCACCGCAACCACAGCCAGTATCGACAAGTAGAAAACACAACAAGCGAAATGACAAGACATGGACATATATATGATTATGTACAGCATTGAACACAACTTTTGCCCTCCCAATATGTTTCGCCAGATGTCATGTACATGAAATTCTATGTAGAAATGAAACCCCAAAAACAATAAAATGGAAAGAAAAGTCTATACTTTGATGGTATTGTCCCCCGAAATTCCCTTCAACGTTCGGTAGAGCTTCTTATGTTCTTCCAAGAAGATAAACGTGGCAATGGTATGAGGACCCAGCCGAATAAAGCTAGGCACCCAGCCGCGGAAGACCCAGGTGAAACCCTCCTTGCGGTAGATGTCTCGCAACAGACCCAGGAGGCTGTGGCCCCGGGTCTCCGCCGGTGATGCGGTCATCACGCGGGTTTTGATCACATCGACGGGACTGCAGACGGTCGTCGCCACGAATCCGGCCATCAGGGACGCGGTGAAATGCGTCACGAGGTTATCCGACATTCCCAACTTCTCGAGACAGAGACGCTTGAAGGAATCGTAGGAGGCAAGTTGCGAGGCCGTCATCAGCACGGCACGAGTCGAATTGGGCCACACGCCGCGGAACAAACTCGCCGCGCCCTCGGTGCGAGTCATCTGCACCAATCCGTGGAATGCATGTTTGTAGTTGCGCCGTTGCGCGGGGGGAAGCGCCGCGTCGTGTTGCATGCGCACGTTCAGAACGTCGGCGGGGTTTCCTGCGAAACCGCCAATGAAGCCAGAGGCGCAGGCGATTGCGACCAAGGTGGGAAGTCCGGGTGGTGACGAGGACGAGGTGAAGCGGGATTTGAGCTCTTCGTAGATTCCGAAACGGGTGGTAGAGTAGGTTATTTGGCGGAGAATGGCCGCAGAGAGCTACAAAAAGGCACAGATGTGAGCGATCCATGGAGACCTTCTTCTTTTCGTCTTCCTAACCACGATCCATGCAGATACTGTACATACCCCGCTATACAACCCGAGGACTCCATTATGCTTAAGAATGTGACCAAAGGTTCCAATCATCGTCGTAGGCGCTCCTGGCCCACGTGTTTGCAAGCGAACCTATATTTCATCGGCGCATCGATCAGCGTTGTGTACATAAAGCGGATGGGGACAGTGCAGGATGAGACGAGCGGTGGGCGCAGACTATAAGGAGATATACCTTTACTGCAAGTTCAATGTCAGTGGAAAGCCTTCAAGACTACTTCAAACAAGCCATTGCAAGGTATACTCACCAAGATCCAAAGGATGTGTGACCATTGCAGCAAAGCATGATGCAGAACCACCAAACCAAAAAGGATAATGCACTTTTTTTACAACAGCCCTCCCAGGCTGAGACTCCTCCAACTTTCCACTTCCAGCCATCTTGATCAACAAGGTGTGGACATTCCAGCCATAAAACAAAAAGAAAAGAAGGAGCGGAGAGTGGTGGTGTACTATACTATCACCGAGACAGCAATGGCCGCGATAAGTCGTTTTGACTATGTCAGCCAGAGGGGGGCCTTAGATAAATTCTGAGCAACCTAAGAAGAATCGCGTCGGCGATAGATCAAGTCTCCGAGCCCTGCGTGCTTCGGCAACACCAACCGATCCCGGGTCCGCTCAGCCAATCAGAGTCTCGGTTTTGGAGGGTTTCCTGCAGGTTGGCTGTAATAACCGGAAATATTACTGTATTTCCGGCCGTATGGATTTGTAATAACCGATACACGAGGTGATAATCGGTCAATGTCGGTCATGGTTTAATAATTATTGAAGACTGCAGGACACCTAAACTTTTCAAGAATATTATTAAAAGAATAGTTGACCATTTAAAAGGCGTGGGAATGCCCTGGGCAAATCCAAAGTACTGGTAAAAGCGACGTTGTGATCTAGGGACCTCGGATAAGCGACAAACTGGTGTACATGATCTATATCTGACGTATGGGGCTGCATCACAAGTCCTCTCATCGCATATTATGATTGACTTTGATTCACCAATATCAAGATTGTCATAGACATTCCCGATGACACATAATTGAAGTCTAAAAGTGCATTTTTCAATAGCAGCTCGAGAACAAAAGGTACATATGTCTGTGAAGTTGATGAGCGAGTGGTCCGAGCAAATCCCGAGTTATCTCAGAGCCATACTCTGTACGGCCCAGGAAATAGGGATGGACAAATTCGATGAAAATGGAGCTTTTATGCCCCTCTTCAATAAGGTCGATACGTCTTGCTGAAGTTCTACCAGAATCTGGGGTGAATCTTAGACCAGAACACATTGCGGCTGACTGCATCTCAGCCACCAACAGCGCATCAGCCAATTCAGGTAGCCTTGTGAGGCGCACCCAGTATGACACACAATGCTCAACCCCAAGGCTCCTGGCGTCAGGCTGCAGTGTATAAGTCGCGGGTAGACCTCTTGAATATACTGTAAGCCATCAAATTCAAAGGCCTGCCATATTTATCTTGACAGATTTTATAAGCCAGCCATTGAGCCACTATGGGGTCATCCAGCGTAGCTGAAGATTTTCTTCCTCCGCGGGCTCCGTCCAGTGCCACTATTCGACGGATCAATTTTCTCGAGACAGACCCGCCTATCCCCAAATACAAGGATTACAATGCTGCCGTTATCGACAACGTGCTGACGGAAGAAGAATGCAAAGAGTTGCTTCGCATGGCAGAAGCTACAACTGTCAAGGACTCTTCTAGCTCTCCAACATGGGAACGCGCGATGATCAACGTCGGAGGCGGGAAACAGGTACTCGCTACTGACCATCGAAACTGCGGAAGAATCATACTGGATTCCCCCGAGCTGGCGGACAAGCTGCTCGCTCGCCTGGTGCCATTCCTCAAAGAATTGGGGGCTGATCATATCAGCAATCAGCCGCATGTGACCGGTCTCGCAGGACGAGGCAGGGCATACCAACTCTCTCGGCTGAATGAGAAACTGCGGTTCCTGAAATACGAGGGTGGTGAATACTTCCGACCTCATTGGGATGGACACTACATCACACCGGATAAGCACGAGAAGTCCTGGTATACTGTGCAGCTGTATCTGAACGGCGACGGAGAGCAGGATCTGGAGGAGTTGCTACAGGCTAGTAAGAAGGCGGAGGCGGAACCTCAGGGCAGCTCCAATATGGATCTATCGGGCAAGCTCTTAGGAGGAACAACAACCTTCACCCCAAGATATGAGGAGCAAGATGGCAAAGTCCGAGTATTTCCTAAGACAGGGTCAGTGTTGGTCTTTCAGCAGTACAACTTGCTTCACTGTGGGGATACTGTATTTCGAGGGGTTAAATATACCATGAGGACGGATGTGATGTATCGCGAAGTGATGATGGCTTGAAAGATTTCATCTCTAGGACATGGCTATCATTATTCTGTCTGTTCGTACAATGACTTTCAATGATGCAAACTATATATTACGTATTAACACCGGATGACATTTATCAGAAAAGATTGAAGAGTTGACCAATTTTGGAGCACCATATAATCATTAAAAACCCGCACTCAGCAGGCCATTTGTAATTCCACTCCAATAGCCATTCTCTTTGAACAATGGAAGAATAAATTGCAGGCCAAAAATCGAAGCACTGCATGATATACAAACACCGGCGACTCTTTTCCCCGGCCCGAATTGTTGATTTCCAGCTTCAATCTCCGCAACCAATGGTTATCTTATCACAGTCATCGTCCGATATTGACCCATTGGGTTACTAAATAGAAGCCATGCGTTTGTTGGCCACCGGTAGAGCGCTGCGGGCCAGCAGTGGCAGATGGTCCGTCGTGACCCCTCGCAGGAGCATTCGCATATCGATCTCGCATCTCCCCGAGCCTCTCACCATCACGAGAAGAAATTTGAGCTCGACAGCGAGCCGGAAGACAGAAGAAAAGGCAGAGACAAAGCATCAAGCTACGGCTCGTCCATCGCATCCGCAGTCATTGACCATTGAAGGCAAGGCCTACCGTACAGACCAATGGACCAACACCCCAGACACGATACTGTCCCACGTCGGACGTCGGCTGTACCTCGACGAGAACCACCCTCTCGCGATCACGCGCAAACTGATCGAAAGCCAGTTCCCCGGCCCGGTATACGGTAACTACTCCGAGAAGAACCCCGTCGTGTCTGTCGCGCAGAACTTCGATGTCCTTGGGTTCGCGCCGGACCACCCGGGCCGCAGCCGGACGGACACATACTACATCAACGACAAGACGGTGCTCCGGACACACACCAGCGCCCACCAACAGGCATACTTTCAACAGATCAACCGCAACGAGGCCACCCGCCCGGAGGAGGTAGGGTATACGGTGGTCGCGGACGTGTACCGGCGCGATGCAATCGACCGCAGCCACTACCCCGTCTTCCACCAGATGGAGGGCGCCATGCTCTGGAAGCGCCCGGACACAGACCCGCTCAAGCACGCTGCCCACACCGCAGCAGCCATCATGCAAGACGTGAACCGCATCCCCGCGCACGGCGTCCCCGTCGAGGACCCCAACCCGACGATCCACGCCGAGCGCAACCCGCTCCAGGCCGAGCACCATACCGCCGAGGAAGTCGAGGCCGTCGCGGCGCACCTCAAGCGCTCGCTCGAACGCATGGTCATCAAGATCTTCACGGAGGCCCGCAAGGCCACCGCCGCCGCGGGTGGCGGCGCAGGCGCAGGCGCAGACGCAGAAGCCGAGCCTCTCAAGGTCCGCTGGGTGGAGGCCTACTTCCCCTTCACCAGCCCGTCCTGGGAACTCGAAGTCTTCTGGCAAGGCGACTGGCTCGAGATCCTGGGCTGCGGGGTCATCAAGCAAGACCTGCTCATCAACTCGGACGTGCCGAACCGCATCGGCTGGGCGTTCGGGCTGGGCCTCGAGCGCATCGCCATGCTCCTCTTCAACATCCCCGATATCCGGCTGTTCTGGTCCCGCGACGAGCGCTTCCTCTCGCAGTTCAAGGCCGGCCAGATCACCCGCTTTGAGCCTTTCTCCAAGCATCCCGCCTGCTACAAGGATGTGGCTTTCTGGCTGCCGTCTGCAGCTGTGAGCGGGGGCAGTGCGGCGGGTGGTGCCGTGCCCATCCATGAGAACGATATCATGGAGATCGTCCGTGGCGTGGCGGGGGATCTCGTCGAAGACGTACGACTCATCGATGAGTTCAGCCATCCCAAGACGGGCAGGAAGAGCATGTGCTACCGGATTAACTACAGGAGTCTGGAGCGCACGCTGACGAACGAAGAGACTAATGGGCTTCATGAGAAGCTGCGCGAAAAACTCGTTGGCCAGTTGGGTGTTGAGTTGCGGTAGTAAACGGTCATGAGAAACCAAAACACCCTGTATTATAGAATTACTACGTCTCCAATGTCCATACATGATTGTATATTACTCTCGACAAAGCGATGCCTAATCTCATCTTGGTCATCAGATTTTCGATTTTCTTAAAGGCTGGCATCCGCCCGTAGTAAGTCACAGGAAGACAGAAAACATGACCGACCATCCATGCAAACATGTTATCCACATTCCAAAGCCAGACTTCCAAAGAAGGCATTGCCCTTTTTCGGGGTGTAGGAAAGCGGGAAAACGCCGCTGACTGCAAGTAGTATACAAAGTAGAGAGGAGAGATTTGTGAAACAACAGAAAGCATAAGAGCCCATACGACGGGAAGACAACCTGGACGCCTTCAGTCGCATGAAGAAAATCCTAAACAAAATAGCTTATGCCCTTATCGAAGGACGATGAATGCATTACCCCATCATGACGAGAAAGACATGTCGTATATTGTACAAGGAATAGATATGAGAAGGAGAGAGACAGCAGGAGAGGCATAAAAGTAGCCAGGCAAGTCAAGCATAGCAGCATGTCGTGAGGGTTCAGGTCTAGTTGTTCTTGACAACGCCAACCTTGGCAGCCTGGGAAGACGCTGGTTAGATCTTCGGATAAGTCTAGTCAATTCAGGAATCACTTACTCTCAAAACTCTGCCATTGAGCTTGAAGCCCGTGCTCTGTGTGTGGATGATCTCGCCATCCTCTTTACCCTCGACCTTCGTCATGAATGTGGCCTCATGGAAGTTGGGGTCGAACTTCTGGGGCTTGCCGTCCTCAGTGGGCTCACTGGGATCGAATCTCTCCAGACCGTGCTTCTTTAGAGTGCTTAGCAGGATGTTCTGGGTCATCTTCAGGCCGGACACGAGGTCCATCAGCTCCTTGTTGGACTCGGTCACGGTGGCGTCGAGCTTGTCCGCGGGAATGGCAAGGAGAGCCCGGTCGAAGTTATCAATACTCTCGAGCAAATCGACGGCGAATCGCTGAATGGCGAAATTCCGGGCATTCTCCATGTCACGCTTGGTGCGTTCTTGCAGGTTGAGGAAGTCTGCAACGGAACGCATGTATTTGTCCTATAGGCAGATCAGCACCTGTGAACCTGAGCCTAGCTCTCATCGTAGAGAGGCGAGTGTTTCACCAAGCGCAAATTCGAGGCTTGCGAGGAAATCTATAATGGGAGTGGTCAAGTACCTTCAGATCAACGATTTCCTTCTCCTTTGACTCCAGCTCCTTGCGGAGACCTTCTTCTCCGGACTCCTCAGCAGCTCCATTCTCCTTTGCCTCGGTCTTCTGAGCGTTCTGAGTTTGGTTCTCTGTCGAGTAGAAGCGGTAAGCTGGCTGACGAACAAGCGGCCGAATAGACTGCAGCTGTGGTTGCAACTGTGACGTGCGGCGGATGGCTGAGGGTGTGGTAGAGGTGGCGCGGAGAGAGAGGACGGACTTGGCGGCCTGGGCCTGTCTGAGAACAGTTCTCTGGAACATGATGGATGAGGGATATTTTAAGGATGAAGAAGGAATATTGAGCTTTGAAAGGGGGGAAATGCAGTCGGTGTGAAGCTGTGCTAGATCTTCCCGACAGAAAAACAGAACTTTCGAAGCTACAGGGCATGGCATCACCTGACCGCTTTCTGTTTTGGGTGACGGTGGGGGATACTTCGGGCCGATGGAGAGAATAGATGGTCATTATCAACAATAATGATAATGGTCGTTATTCTGTGCATGCTTGTTAATGAATGTTGTTCGTCTAGAGGACAAACGACACTGGATGCTAATTGTTGCAAGAATTAACTCTGGACAGTGACTATCAGGGTAGCTACACGGTGTGATGGCCAGTATCAAACAGCTTTTATATACCAACCCCATGAGGGCGATTATCCATACCTTTTCCAGTACATTTCTGGAACTTATTATGGCTTCTTGTTGGTCGATTATGAATATCCTACCTTGGAAATACCCCACATTGCCTCGAGCAATGCTTTATAATCGCCAAACCCCTCAATGCAACTCAGAAAAGGTGGGTGATTCGTTCATTGCCGGCAATTGAGCCTACCCGAAAACACGCGCTGTCGAAATGCCTCTTAGCTACGATCCTGAATACCACAAGGCCACAGTCGAATTCTTCTCGACTAGATCAGGGCCCAAACCTGCAGTTCATGATGTTGCAGCCCGCAGAAGTGGGATTACCGCCAACTACAAAGCCATGTTCGAGAAATTGCCTTGGGCACCTGATGTGGAACATTGCATTTACCCGGTGACCTCGTATGACGGGCGTACCATCCAAGTACATCGGTTCTCCAAGAAGACCTCGACTCCAGCAGCCGCTGGTCCAGCCGTGCTACACACCCATGGAGGCGGTACTATACAAGGCGATGTTTTCTTGTTCGTCAAGCCTCTTTCCATCCAAGTCCAGCAGACCGGTGTTCAGGTATTCTCGGTAGACTACCGATTGGCGCCTGAGAACCCTCATCCGACGCCAGTGGAGGATTGCTACGCTGGACTCTCCTGGCTGTACGAACATGCGGAGAAGTTTTCCGTGGATCGCAGTCGCATAGCCACGATGGGCGAGAGCGCGGGGGGACTGCTCGCGGCCGGAATCACATTGATGGCCCGCGATCGAGGGTTGTCGCCTCCGATAGCGAAGCAGATCCTCATTTACCCCATGCTTGATGACCGTAACACGGTGCCCAATCCTGACCTGGAGCCTTTCGCGTTGTGGGACTGTAATGATAATATCACTGCCTGGACTGCGCTTCTTGGTGCCGATCTTGGGAAGGACAATGTCTCACAGTATGCTGCGCCCGCGCGCGCAGCGAACTTGCAAGGCTTGCCGCCCACGTACATTGATGTCGGCGAACTGGACATCTTTCGAGATGAGGATATTGCCTATGCGGCCAGAATAGCATCCGCCAACAGCAGTGTAGAACTACACGTATACCCTGGCCTACCTCATGCCTTTGAGGTCTATGCGCCGCACATTGAGGCGACAAAACGCGCCACTGCGGATCGATTCAGAGCTATCCAGACCCTTTAGATAGAAGCTGCCCAGACGGGGTGTATTGCACGCGACTTGTTGCATATTGCTACCCTGAGTCTAGCAAGGCGTTTGTCCCAGAAGTCAGCGTACGTAGTCCGAAGTGTAGATATGAGAATAGAGCTGCCTACAAGTGCTTGGACTCTATAACAGCTTTGAGTAAGGATAGTACACGCCTTTGCGATCTGTATTCCGTATTCCGTATTCCGGAGTTCATACTCGTAGTCGTGGCTATGCCGTACAACTTCCGGAGTCCTGAAGACACAGGCCCAGACTAAGCCAAAATCGGTGTCTGCCAAGCCGAGTTGCTCTCAGGTCGAAGCAGGCAGACGAATTCGTCTATTTGATTGTGAGAGTAAGGCTTATCATAATAAAAGACCCAGAGACATTGCGAGCCTGGTTGAGATGCCCCTTAGTGACGAGGGCTGAGCACCTGAGATACATAATATCGGATTGGTCCAGGTGACTGATGACATTCCAAAAGACATCATCAAGAGCCAATATTGGACCCATGATAGATCAGATAGTGAAATTAGAGTTCCTCGGCATGATCATGACTGTTCATCGAGAGGAATGTCATCGCCCCAAGTAGCCATGAGGTTCCGGGTGAGTGGTGACCAAGCCACCTGCTTCCTACCGAGTCTGCACAAAGCCGAATTGATCAGGGATATGTGCTTCTGTCGATCCACCATCCATCAAAGCCACAAGAGCAAGGAATTATTGAGCTCCTGGGTAACTGAACCGACGAGTCTGTGAGGGCAGTTACTACAGTATTATCAACTATCAGATCCACTCCAGGGGCGGAGCAGAGATGCGCTGATATAGGCCCATATACGGAGTACTGACCCAGAAACCAGCACTGAAGTAACGCGGAGAAGACCCGCTTGATGACCAGTACTACTACTACTCATAATTCTGAATTCTTGGACTCTACTTTGGGAAAAGCTGGAACGTCAACTATTTCGAGTACGGACAACCATGGATGTTGGTTGGATGCGGGAGGAGTTGTACATAATTTCCCCTTACGCGTCGCCATCTTTCGTGCAACATCCAGCAGATCAATATCGGAGTAGAGTACGCTGGAGCAATAGTGGCAAGAGTTACATCCACGACGACTCTGCAAGTGTACTTACGCAGTGCAAGGAAGTACAAGCCACACGGCGATGTCCACTGTGGAATTGGCGTGGCAAAAACCACAGCTATCGAACTAGCGAGAAATTCCCCCGAACAGGAAGTGGATGTCTCTCTACAAAGTAATGCTGGATGGATCTTCAGGAACGAAAAGCCAGGCAAGGTAGGTATTAGGTAGATCCTCAATCTAGAATCGTCTCTGTGATTACGACGAACGAGGCAAGTCAAAGCCTCCATAGCGGAGCCCAGAACAGGCCGCATCCGAAGTCCATCGCGATCCTACTCAAGTGTGTCTGGCTGGCTGCGCCTCATCACAACTGTTGGGTGTTGACCCGTTTCTCTTTAAAAAGGCTGGGAACGGAACGCTGAGTAGTATTTTGCCATTCCAGTTCAACTTCAAAAGAAAGAATCATTTCATGATTGAGTTTTCTCTCGATCAAGGTTTTCTCGTGTTCCCCTGAACGATCCATCAGTCGCCATTTGCGGCCTTATCTCGGTGGCAACCCATCAGTCTTATCTGACCGCCATCCGCCATCTACCTATAAACAACTCAACATCCTCTCTCCTCTGCATCAACCAATTCAGATTGCAGAAAACGAAGAAACAAAAGCAATCATGGCGGAAAATATAACAGCATCAACAACAACAACAACATCACCATCACCTCCAAACTCCCTCCCCCCGTCGCCCTCATTCCGCACCCACCGCGCCTCCCACTCCCCGACCTCATCGCGACCAGCTCTCTCCCTCGACCTCTCCAACCTCCCTCCTCTCTCACAGCCAACTCCACCCTCAAACACCCTCCTAATAACCGACCTCCATG